AGAAAACAGAAAGAAATGGAGATGTGCTGCTGAAGCCTCCACGTTCCACTTTGAGCCTGATCATAATAATAATAATAGAACAATATATCGCAGTCATTTCGGAACGCAAACTAATTCCGCGTTTTTGAAACAAACGAAACATTTGATTTAAGATAACCTAATTTTTTTTTAAATATAATCTGATGCAATTTATTAGTTGAACTTCATAAATAAAGCTTACTTTAATTAAATGAACATAAAGGTTCAGTTAAGTTTATCAAAGCATCTTCTGTTTCTTTTGAAATAAGATATAAAATTATGCTTCTGCTGAAATAATTGATTTGTGCTCAACGTTTCTTTTTAGCGTTTGATCTAAATCAAAAAGAGAGGAGAAAAAAATAAGCAGAAAATAGAGATCTTGATAAATGTGATAGGGTGAATAAAACAAAAAGGAAGTTGAATTATCTCTTTTGGAGTCATATTTTTCTCTTTGTGAATCAAATCTTTTGTAATTCTGGATTGAATAGAAACAGATTACACTTCCTTAAGGATACTGTCTTTGGGAAAAATATTTACTCCCTGGAAGTTCCTCTAATGCACTGTATTTTATTACATCCTAAAGGTGGATGAATGAATTTTTACAAAAAATTGACTGTTTAGTTCATTTATTTACTACTTTAAACTACTGAAAGAAAGATTAGCAGAAGATGAGTAAATTCTGTGGTCTTATTGTTTTTGTTTACAATATCTAACTATTAGACCAAGAAGATAAATGTACAAAAGCAGATTACTACATCATAAAAACAGTATCAGCTGCTATCCACTGATGTTCGACAATAACTGCTGCCATCGTTGCTTGTACTGTGATAATCTCAACTGTGTCTATGCTGCCAATCTAAGTCTTTCAAAAAGAACGTAAGAGTAGAATATAATTCCATACTAGATAAGTTTATTAACTCAAAATTTCATCCGATTATCATTACTGCATCACTGTGAGTTATATCGGATAAACTTGTCCAGTACGGAATTTAAAAAGAACACCCTTGTGAAAATTTACGGACAAACCCTGCAATCCATCCGACGATCATATTACTAAGACGAGAGTTTCATGCTCTGTCATCTAAACCATTCCTCATTAATGAAACTGTGGTAGCGTTTTCACTTCTCATGCTGTAGTACACTTCAAAAGTATATCACTTTGAAAGGAAATATTTACTAATTTATCATTGCTTCGGATAGGTAGATTTTCATTATGTTTCTAAAATGTCGGTGTAATTAAGACAGTGTTTAGTGTTTCGTATCATATGCATTTACAACACAGTGTGTTCAAAGCAGTTTTGATACTTAAAAGACCAGTTTAATCTTCAGTTTTTGAGTGCTGTCCTAAAAGGTTCTAGAATACGTGAAGTTAGCAGTTTTCCTTGTTAACGCCTTCTCTTCTGAAAATGTCAGGGCTAAACTTGACTTTGGTAGCAGCCCTTTTTATTAACACTTCTTAAGTATTTGTAAAATATGCATTGAAAACTTACTGAAATCATCTGAACTGTGGGAACTGAAATAGGAAGCATGTTGGGTGTGCCATAATAAGCACTGTAAGTGTTAGATTCATTAGTTGTTGAATTAGAATAATCAGAGTTTTGAATACCTATATAAAACAAATTGAAAAAGAAATAAATGAAGGCTTTTTATAGGAAGAAGATAAATAAATGTGAATTCGGTTTAGAAAACAAAATAAAGCTAATAAAATGTTTATTCCTGATTTATCACAAAATGGAGATTTTTTCGATTATTTCTTTTGACATCTTGTAGGGTTGGGCAAATTTATCATAATGTGAAAATGGCGGAAATTTCCACTCTGCATAGAATCATTGTTTAAGAATAACGTGGTAGTTATTACCACTTTAAACAAAAAGTTATTAAGTGCTTTAAAGCCCACATAACCTGTAGGGAAAGGTTACTCGAATATTTACTGTGCGCCCCATTAATGGCTTTGTAAAGAGGCTTTAACAACAAAATGCTTGTCTATATACCGAAAGGAATAATCATAGTTCACAGATGAGCAGAACAAAGTGAGACAAGTCATGTTCATTCAAGACTGGCGCCAGTTTGATAACGGCGGAATTTTATATTTTAATAAATGGCGGCCGTTTGTTCTAGGTAAACTGTATTTACCTTCAATCACTTTTTATGTGCTTATATTTTGATTTAAGTGGCTAATGTTATGTTGACTCAAAATTCTCCAAATAACCTTTTGCGCTGACCCAAATCACAAAAAAGATATGGAGTTTAGCATATTTATTTTTCCACAAATAAAGAAAGAAGCCTCATTAGTCCTATAAATTTCATTGATGGATTACCTATATTTTTTGTCAGAGAAGCGGTACCATGATTAATAAATCACAGGCTATTCCCATTATCTGGTACAGTTGATCGTAGCTATAAACGTTAAGCAGATGAGTTGCATTTCTGGAAATCTGTCATTATTCATCTACTCTGATATTTTAATAGTAGACTGGAAAACTTAGAAAATATTTTTGAGAAAAAGAAATACATGAAATGTAAAGAATCGTTTCAAAACTTGCGTGTTTCAACTTTTTCTATAATCACATGTTTTGTTTATTGGGATGCACGCCATTTTGACGAGTAAGTATGGGAGGAATTCATATATAAGACCTTTAAAATGAGACTCTTAGTGCATTACATTCCGTTATACTGAGAAGAAAACTAACTAACATTTTCAAGTGTTGGTTTGTAGGGATTTGATTGGTTACAAGATTTTCATCATGAGCTGACATCAGTTAGAGAACCATTGGAAAACTTGGGAGTACTGGAAAGCTGCTTCGTCCTAGTTTGGGACTCTTTATCAGTGCGCAGCCACCGGGATTCGAACCCTGGACCTACTGGTTACAAGGCGAGCTCGTATACCATTAAGCCACTGGGACCCGATCCAATGGCACATGAATTCTAACTTCTGCCAATTCCCGACATAGCGCGACCCTTAGTCAATGTCTTCAGCGAGTATTTGTCCTCACACCCGACCTGAGAAGTCGTGACCAGTAGGGTGCAGCAGCATTTTACACTATTCTCCATGCCTTATTTTGGATATATAACGGATATTATTATGGTATTCAACAAATCTAAAAGTTAGTTGATTACAAAATTTAATATCTCAAACATATATGATAAAGAACTAACTCAATCCAGAAATACTGTTTCAGCTTCAAACTTTTACTAAGGCATTTATAAATTTCACTTTAACAGAATGTGAGTACTATGTACAAATTAAAATATTGCTTTCATAACTTAGACATAAGTATTTACCTGAACACGTTTGAATACTATTGATATTATTCATATTCATTTGATCTAACATTAAACTGGTATCAAACAAAGGATTGGCTGTTGTGATCAGTTGACTCTTTGAGTCTAACCATGCAGGAATATCATCATTTGGATTAGACTTATTCAGTTCTGAATTGTACTGATAAAATGCACTGTTAACACTTTTTCTTGTAGAGTTGAAATCATGGTTAAATTCATTTTTATGCCTTAAATTCATTGTTTGAACGCCTGAAGTAAAGTGTTCAGGAGTTGGAGGTAATGGAAGACTTGGAGGTGGAGGTAAATGAAGTGGATTATATAGTCGACTTAATCCATTACAATGATTAAAAGAAATGTTCATTTTGGATGGATCAATACTTGAATTGTTGGAGTTGTATTGTCGTATAACTGATCCATTAATTGTGTCAACTTTTGCATACGGTTGAGAATCACAGTCTGATCCAGGTAAACTAGTATAGATTGAATTTTCATGACATGTTTTTCCATAATTGATATTTTTTAAAATATTCTCTTCTGTTGAAAGATAGGTTCCTTGAAGATTCGATGATACAGAGCCACCAGGAATGAACTACAGGTAAGTGATCGCAACAATCGAAAACATGGAGTCAATATCTCGTCATTATGACACAAAATAAGTAAATTACTGTCTAATTAATTTGGTTCTCAATCATTTTAATAATTGGTGTTATATTTTTTACCATGCATTTGCCTTTAAGATTGGGTAACTTTGTTAAATATAAATTGTAAACTGAAATACTCACTCCAATTTTATGTTATATTCGGGTATCTAGGTGACTGCGTTTGAAAGTCAGATTCACCTGTAAATATAACCGTTATGTACTGCACTACATTGTATTTTAAAAAACACGAATTTGTCAGCATATTTAAAAGAATGGTACCTCAGACTAGATGTCCCTGGCTTCCACTCAGTGCATTTGGGTGGTTTTGAGGTTTGTTTTCAGACTTTCTTATTGCTTGTTTGATGCTTTGTTTGACTAAAAGACGACTAAGCATTTCCGAATAAAATTCCCAAGTGTTGTTCTGTATAATATTTCAGATTTGAAAATATATTTATTTATTTATTTATAAACTTGTAGGCGTTAAAGTCTGATAAGAAAACATTTGGAGTAACAGCTGACAACCTTGTGAGTGTATCACTGGTTTCATGGCTGCAAGCAAATCAGCTCCACATATTTTCTATACGATTAAATGACATGGCGCAAAAGCGAAAGGAAGGATTGTGTTCCAGCACAATTAGATTTCTAAGTTAATTTCAAATTTTTGCATTTCACTGGCCTCATTTCAAGATTTTTTCAGATTTACTTTAGGCTTACACTTATCCAATGTATATTTAAAGCGTATTGACCTTTAGCAGTCAGTCTCAACATGTTAGACTTCATTGTGTAACTCAGAATGGGGAATTGTAGTTATTTAATCAAAGAACTCAGTTGTGTGAAACAAAATTATATGCAACATTATTATAATACTTTTACTAAACTACGATTTGTATAATATAAAACATCTTATTTAATAGATTAACAAAAATAACTTACACTAGGCGTCACGATAGGTACAAAAGATATTGAATTATTTGGATCATACTTATTCATACCGGGAATACTTGTTGGCAGTAAATTAGCATTAACTTCATTAGGCGATGGACTGAAAATACCATTTTGTAAACTTGGATGAGTTGAATAATTGTTTTCCATTCCGACTTGTTGAAATGGCTGATGAATAGTATTCGTTGTCAAGTTAATACTTATCGGAGATACTCCATTGGAAGTCAGAAGTTGAAATCCACCTAGATATGCTGTTGTACTAGGTAGTCCCATGTTAACATCTTGACACCTTTGTGGATGTTGGAACTGGTATTGCATATCACCAGATACATTACTAGTAGTAGTTGTAGTTACAACTATATTATTTAAAGTATTGCTATTTTTGGACTGATCTGCAAGCAAAGAAGTATTCTGAGCACTTGATTTATTTACACTTGGATTAGAATCAAACTGAGTAGAATCACTAAATCTCTTGTTTTTCCTGTTAAATTTATGACGAAATGGTACTCGTAGACGCTCTCTTCCCCAAACACAGAATAAACAAAATAATCCACAACAGATAAGTATTACTAGGAGGCTACAGATTATTGCAAGCACATAAGTTGTTGTTTGTCCTAGGGGAAAATTCAAAGTGGATGAATGTTCATTTAACAAGTATGGAAGACCTGTTGTTGTACCACCAGGTTCTGAACGAATACCTTCATGTGGATTTGTATCTTCAGGTTTGAATTTCAGATTGGGCATTTGAGCTGAGAGAAAAAACAGCGGTAAATTATTTTAGTCATGTTTATTTTCTAATTGTTCCTGATGAAATTTCTGATTTGACTGACTGAACCGTAATGGTCGGCTTCTAGCACGGACGCCTCAACAATAAAACTGAAAATTAATTTGAAGTGATTTGGTGGATGGTGATTAGCAAAGAAATTCAAGATGCGCATTTCGCCCAAGATGTCTAGTGGATCATGCTTCGGCTTTTGAAACGGTTAGCACCGGCCTCGAGTCTCAGTGGTGACACCATCACCCACTGGAGATTGCAGTTACATTAAGCCAACGAGTCCCATATAGGACGAGATGCATAACCAGGTGTTTCACTGCTAGTCAGCATCTCTAAAATTACTTTTGCTTTTGTTAAAAAAAACTTTATCCTAAGTGGTTTGCGTAAAATCAGATTTATTCATTTTGCTATGTAAGATGCATATCTATGTGAACGGAGAAGCGCTTGCAGAATTCTTCAAAAATCGAAAGGTACACTAAAATTATAACCTGCATTTCTTTCTACTGGTCGAATGATCTGTTTGAGTGGCCTAACAAATGTATAATTTCAGGTTAAACCAAGGATTGACATCGGTTAGAGAACGACTGGAAACCAGAGAGTACTGGACAGCCGTCTCATCCTAGTTTAGGAGTCATCGGCAGCAAGCACTCGCTTGGGTTCTAACCCGGGACCTTTGGATTACAAGGAAAGCTCGTATACCATTCAGCCACTGGGAGTAGATTGAATGACCTATGAGTTCTACCTTCTACCAATTCACGATTTAGCGCAACCAACAACCAATTTCATCGGCGGGACATTCACTTTCACTCCTGACTGGATGGACGCCACCGATCACGACTTCTCACTAGAACTCCAGACAACTTCGTCCTGTAGCAAGTCACTGGGTTCGAAACGCAATGGGTACGTACTGCCGACGAGTCCCAAACTAAAACTAAACAGCTGTGCAGTACTCCCCGGTTTTCAATGGTTCTCTAAATGATATCAGTCCGCGATCTAGGATGAAACAAATAGAATCCCTATAAACAAATTCCTGAAAATGTATTACTGGCTTCAAAACACAGTTTAAGACATATGACACATATCACAGTTCACCATCATGTACATTCCACTGATCTTATCCTCAAAACACAGCTTCGGTTCGGATGTCACACCAACTATTATAGGCTTCAAAAAATTATCCAAAAGTAAATTTTTTTTTAAAGTAACTCATCATGTGTGTATTTGTGTACAGCGGGTTTAATCTGCTAATATTTTATATTCAACTGCAATTAATTAATCTAATATTAGTTCTAACCACAAATTTTACTTAGATTTGATGTGATGTCACCTTTATGGAAAACAACTGCCCAAATTTCCATATTTTTTCCTTCTCCACTAAGTCTGTGATGATTGATCAAACAATTACACATCTTCCCACTCCGTACTTAATCACCGTAACCATATTATTCTTTAGGGATTTCACCGTGTAAATTCAAAATAAGCGGAACAACAAAACAGATAACTAGTTCAGTGAACGTCGCTGATAGATGGATATGAGTAATCAATAGTTATTCAAAGCAATCACTTGATCATACTAACCAAATTTCTCTCTGTTTTACTTATAACAAAACTGTTAAGTCAAAAATTGACTATTGAAATGTATATCTAAAAATTTTTTTCATAGATTTAAAGATAAGATGACCTACATTGCCTACTAAGAAAGAATAAAGTAGGAAAAAATTGAATCAGTCACTAAGATTTTATCAGTTTTAATATTTTAAAATTAAAATAAGCAGCAATAGAAGAATGACTAATGTTATTATTATTGTTATTATTATTATTAATTTTTTTGTTTCTAAAACATTGACTTATTGTATAAGTCATAACAAGGGAGGTTGAGTAAATTACAAAGTAAATGGATACATAGTTGATAAATGATAACATCAAACGAACCGCCGCTATTTTCTTTGCCTTTTATCTTCAAATATGATATTTTTAAAACTATTGACATTCTTTCCATTTTATTTGCATATACGCAAACGTAAACTGGCATCATGTGTAAAACTAGAGAGACTGTACGCCTTTGAGAACAGACTGCAGAATCGATAGTGTTTTTTTGCTAAGGTAGCGATAAAGAGCTCATTTGTGATTAGTAAAAATAAAAGACATCTTCCAAAATTAAGTAAACATATAGGAATATCCTTGGAGGATTGAATTATTTTTTGAACCATTTATCCTGAGAGATTTTCCATTTTCTCATACAAATAGCTAAAAGAATGTAATGTTAACAGCAATATATAATAAATTTGGTAAAAATTTTTTAGGGACAACTTCCTTCCGTGTGTTTATCTCGCAACAACTGCATGTTACATGGTAAATTAAATTATTTGGTCTAATGGAGTCAACAGTACATTTAAACTGACAAAACCTATCTCTAAATCAGTTACTGGGTTTCAATTCCACGTTAGTTACAAATGAATATATGTTAGTGAGTTGCTATGTAAACCTAGAAGTTAACATCGTTTGTTAGATCTTTCTATTTTCTATCTTCTCCTCCCCCATCTTTTTATACTTTGAGAGCATTTAAATTAATCGCAACCTCGCCTAGTTAACTAGCCAGTCTGAAGCTCGGGTAAATAGGCAGGGTTGGGCGTGAGGCTAGCAAACCCACACCACTAAGCCTTTGAAACCGCTCGAGAAACTTCAACGCACAGAAAATAATAAATTGATAGTGACTTAAACCAAAAACTGTAATGCTTTTATTTCGAGTGAGTTGATTTCATAATGTTTCTTTTACCCCTATCAATCCAACACTGAAGTATGTTATTGTCATTATTAATGACCACTGTAATTTCGGGTAGTTTGCAGCTGATGAGGACCTGTGAAATAAAAAGATAACTAAATTTTATACTGCAGATCTGGTCTTTCTTTCTGTATCGAAACATACGAGGAATCATACATAGACTTTTAGATAAAACCTGTTTTTGTATTTCAGTGCTATAAATGCCTTAAATTCTTTCCTGTACATATTCTGACCACTTTTATGCCTAAATTGCTTATCAGTTCTATCAAGTTTCTGAATGAACTCAGGTGAGTGGTTATTTGGGGCTAATTTTTCTCTTATTACTTTGATTTCTTTATGCTGACTTTTTAACTGTCCATTCATTCTCTTGACAGTTAACTCAACTTGTTATTTCCGATATGCGATGAGATGTTTAAAGTCTAGATGTCTACTAGAATGCGTTAGCTATTTATAGATACTTGTATCTTCATTTTATTTATATATATAGTGTAGACAATTTTTCATGCTTATATGCTAACAGAAAAGTGATCGATGCAATATAAAGTGTGATAAATTAATTATTGATATGCTCAGTTTTCAACACTGAATTTATCGTTTAGATGTTTCTAACACGTCTTATAAGAAAAAGAATTAAAAGGTTCTAAGAGCTTTATATTCTCAAACAGCCATAAGTGGATATTTTACTATTGGGGATATATTAGTGATTACATCCCCTTGTTCGTATGTTTGTTTATTTACTCTGAAATTCAGACGTGACTTAATAGATCGTGTCACACAAATGATAATTTATTCCACTGACTTCAGAGTAACTCGCTTCTGACTCTATGACTTGTTAAACTAGTTTATAAGCTTTTTTTAACATCTAAACGAATCATTTTTTTTCAGCATACAGTCTATTATCCTTCGTCGAATAAGAAATAGATAATGAAGCATTAGAACAGTTTCCAGCGATATGTAGTATCAATTTTGATTTGACACTAGTAACTAGCGTGAAATCAAAATTGATACTACAGTCCTACAGGAGGTCAATCGCGAGCCCGAATAGCTCAGTGATAACGTCTCTGACTGCAGCATTGGGTGACGCGGGTTCGAATCTCAGAAGGGACATAAGTTCCTTCAAGGTTTCAGACTGGTGAGTGCCAACTAGCACAAAACCTAGGTCCAAGACTTCCAGCTGATTGCCACTAACCATCTAGTAGTATCAGTTGTATGTTGGTGTATGGTATAAGTTACTAAAACCAAGAAGCTCATGATTAAATGACATTTAAAGTGGGGAAAGTTTAAGGGAGGCAATGAGTCACATTCCGCCTTCATATCTAGGGTATGCTCAGTTTTACTAATCATTTTATTATAACACAGAGGTCAAAATAATTAGAGTAACTATTATCTGTCTCCTTAAATATAGTTAATCCAGACAGTCAGAACAAAACAAATAGTTAGTGGTTTATTTAATTTGACTCAGCTTTCCACCTTTGAGAGTCCTGTCTTAGTTGGTGAGATAAGACGATTGCTCTTCATTCTGAGTATACTATTGAATTTTACATTAAACTTTTATATACTGTCGGATATTTTTTGAGTTGGGCAAATCTGCTTACACTCAGTAAATTTCGGTCATTGCTCTGGATCACATGTACACTTCCATAAAAGCCGATTGCATTAAAACAGATGAGTTAATTTTTGATCAGTGAGTCTTACTACAGTATCTATGTGCAGACTTTATATTTTGGCTGTAGTCGAATGGTAAGAGCCATTTTATGTGAAGATTATCTTAAAATCTTTCTGTCAAGTTACTGAGTAGTAGAAACAGAAAATATAAATATTTTCTGAATGGGTACGTTTTCATTTACATTAACTTTATTCAGTGCATGGATTTTTAAGGGTGAAAATGAGTTGCGTTTAGTATGTTTGATTAGTATAAAATAAAGTACGATATCTTAGGTTGACTTGAAAAAGCAAATGTCATCATACCTCAGTTAAAACTGAGAAAGACTATTTCACTTGAAGGCATACCAATTATTTAATGGCTCATTCACTTTCCACTTTGTTTTTTTGTGGTCATATAATCAAAGTGTACATGGAAGCGGTCCTGAAATATTCGGACTGGCATAAGTAAACATTTTCATTTCAAGTTCTTTGTGAAACACATCCAATCCAAAACTGTCTCATGCTAGAAGTAGACAACATAATGTATCACGATGTGTAGTTATTTAGTCGAATAGTAGCATCAAATTATTCCTCTGAAGAGTAATGGTTGTTTCACTGACTGATACCGCTTAAAAAGCACATTAGATACCAAGACCCACAGGATAGCTGTGTCTTTTTAACCTTTGACAGGTGAACACCACTTAGCTACGAGACGGTTAAGAACAGATTCAAAGACGGTCAAGTATTCAACTGCTTATAAGTCTGACAGCTAGCTAAAAAACGGTTAATATATTCTTTAGATTGAGCATGCTAGCAAACAAGTTTAATACTAATTATACAACTCAGTATAATGAACCAATCGATATAGGTTTGGTAAATTAACCTGATAAATTAATTTAAATAAACGATTTATTTGTATTCCAATTGTAAGCGTGTATGTAATCTAATTTGTTGACTAACTAGTCATTTGGTAATTGTAAGTATAAATTTGCCGTAATCAGGGAATTACGCGACGATTAGAAAACCTTCAACACAACAGGAGGATAAGTTCGTAAACATAATGAAGGGTAATGATACCTGTCTACAGTGAAATATTATCTAACATTCTTTGTATAAAATCCTGTTTACTGGTCTAGTTTTTTCTCATTTAGTAGATATATATATATATATACATAAATTGAAAGTGATACTCAGTGTGAAAGTTGATATCCTGCTTTTTTGAAAACTATTCACATTAAAATCAAAAGTCACTTGATAAAACAATCTACGTGTTAGCAAATCGGGGGAAATATACCTTTGAATACCTTTAATTCTATTTCACTTCTTATGACTATTAAATAGACAAGAATTGTTATAGAAATGGTCGTAGTAAAACTGAAATTTGATTAATACTGCAAGGATGAAGGACTTCTGTTGATAATAAATTCATAAGATATAAAATTTCTAAAACGAATACGGTATCAAATCAGTGGTGAATTTTTAAGACACTTTTATCATCTAGAAGACAAAAGAAAATTTAAGCAAAGAATATTCTTTTCGATATTTTCCTCTTCCAGCTCTACAATTATGTATACATAGAGAGAGCATTCTAGAACGATCGTCATTAGAAATACTATCGGTTTGTTAGGATTAGTCGTTTTACAGTTCAAAAAAGACGCCTAAGTTAAAATAAGCATAAAAATGTAATTGTAAATAGAATATCAAATAAAACTAAGGAAATCTCTACAACAGATTAAGGACGGAGTGCCGATGAGCTCCCCATCGGTTCCCATTCTGGCAGATTTCTTTTTAAGTAAACTAGAAAATGGATCTCTGAACAACGTTATCGTAAAATTCTTATTTGATTGACACCATATGGATCACACCTTTATTCTTTGTGATAATGATTCGGATAAGAACACAATAATAACTAAATTCAATGAAGTACATTCTGCTATGAAACTCATGTATGAAAAGGAATCCCAAAACAGAATTGCCTTCCTGGATGTCCTCCTTACAAGAAAATCAGATGGTAGCAAAAAACGCAATTTGTATAGAAAAAGTACATGGAAAGGATAATATACATATTTTCACAGCTTCGTTCCACTTCAGTACAAAAGAAGTTCAGTTAAGAGCCTCAGCCACAGGGTTGGAGCTGTATGCTTAGAAGAAGTAGTTGAAGATGAATTAAGCATTTCATATGATACTTTGATTGAAAATAGCTATCCCGACAAATTTATCAAGAAACACATGATAAAGAAAGCGGAAAAGAACTACTCCCAATCCGTAAACAAGAAGCCTTTATGCATACGATTGCAGTTCAAGGGCTAAGTAAAGGTACAGTGAAAACCATCAACAGTACGATATTAGACCATCTGGTCCAAACTGGCCACATAGCCAGCACTGAAGAATCCTTATCTATCACCTACCGGGTGCGAAATAAATTGCCAAAAACATCGAAGTACCGTATGCTTCAAACAAAAGAAGTTATCGCAATTCACGTGAAACAACCAGTGATTTTTGTGCAAAAGAAGCGAGGCCAGCCACTACTACTGCCCTGGCCTTCGGTGGGGACTATAAGTTCATGGATTTATATTATTATCTTTCCTAATTTTCCTGACATTCAGTTTATTGTTATGTTGATGCTACTGAACTGTAATCTATTGATATTATTGGTTCGATGTTATTTAAACAACATTAATGTTCTTCATAACACTAATTCATTCACCATAATGTATATATGACTCTAGAACCTGATGATGAAGTTATCAAAACGAATATTCTTTGTTCAGTAACCATTTTTTTGAAAATTAAGGAATATTGAAACCTTGATGGCTAAGGTAAAGAAAGCATCTGAACCAATTTCTTTTGGATACATAGATAAGACTTCTTAATACAGTTTCTAACAACCTCAGTAATATGTAATAGCCGAACTCCTGAAGTAAAATTAAGCTTAGTTGGTATACGATATATGAATTTGAAAGCCTTGTTTACATCAATTTTGTTTTCTGTATCTACGAGATGAGACAGTATAGAACTATGAAGATAACAAACTAATAAAAATAGGATGAACCTGTGTTGTAAAATTTAAGGCGGCAGATTTCGATCAGCGAGTTTACTAGGTGTGCATTTGCGTTGCTGAAGTTCTTTTGTTTAAATCAGCAACAGTAGAGTGTACCCGGTGAAACAACTAACCGACTAAAGAAAAAACTAAGCTTGCAATGGGTAAAACTTAGGAAGTAAATGTAAAAAGATCAAAAATACTGTTATATTTGCGCTAAAGTAAGAAACAAAGAAATGGGACAAGAAATAAACAAGAAGATATCTAAATTTATGGACTGCTGTTGCTCACGCAAATAGTCATGTTAACTAACTTAGTGTTATATATAAGCAAGAATTTGAAAGGTTTGCATATTTCGAAGAAATTTCAATGATGAATGTATGAACAGCGTTAAACATTACTTATAAATAGTAGAACCAAACAAAAAATACATTCGTATGTAAACACGAAAAAATGATTCGACAAGCCTTACACGGAAAACAAAATACACAGAATACATTTTAAACCAACTTACTTATGGACTAAACATCTTACAACAAAAATAAGATTGAATCTGTTTTAAAAAAGATCAAAAGAATCTTGTAAACTAGTGTCATTTGTTTAGCAGAGATAATATGAATGGCAACTGTTCACGCTGGTAGCAGTGAATGAAGTAGAAGTAAACATGTTCACAAAATAAGGCAGTTTTCATTGTTGTTTTTTATTTATTTTTTTGGTTAATCCTCAGCTATGAACAGCTGAAAAATGCGATAGACTACCCTAACTGTGCTTATTTTACTCACTCATTCTTGCATTTTTTTCATCTAAAATACCTGGTTCTTAGTTTGCGCTATTGTTCATGGTTGGAGTTTTTAGTGTGACCTTGGGTTTGACTCCCCACATTCTGCTGTCATTACCAAAACTTACAACTAGATCACACAGTAAATTTAACACGCTAAAATGGGTTTCTGTTAAAAGGCATCTTGTGAACGACTGACAAAACCCAGCTAATCACAATGGTGAACAAACAAAACTGTACTTCTTACTATTTAGAATGCTTAAGAAGGTGTCAGATGACGATCAAAGCAGTTTGGCATGGAAGTGATCCATGAACCTATAAAATCTCCATGTACCAAGGCTTACACTCACTTGATAAGAAAGCCGTTAACAAAATGTCTCTATCCATATTGACGTGCTTGGAAATCTGTATGGTGAAATCTGTGACTGGCATGGGAATACCAGAAAAGGCAGCAAAAACCAGATGATGAGAATCCAACGTCCATTGCAGATACAGGATAATATCGGTCTCTAAGGCTATAGAGGTTGTGTAACACATTTGCCATTGGTTAAGTTGACATTTAAGCATAACCGTACTTCCTTCGTGTGTATTCACAATCAAATATGAGATAAATTAATAATCTGAATATTTTGTTTCAATTTTAAACTGTGCGGTTAACAAATACACATACATGAAGAGCATTTAAAGCCTAATTATCAAATTTTGTAGTAGTTTCAAAGCTCCCTTGTAGATTATTGGTTGATGTTGGTGTGATGCCTATATGAATTTTATATGATCAGAGAATTTCTCACTCCTATAAAACGTAGTCGTATAACTAGTTTAGTGAAGAAAAAAAATGAACCATAAACAAGCGCTAATAAAAACAGTGTAACGCAAAACTTACAATTTTCAAACAGAATTTCTCCCACAGCTAACCACTGACTATTAAAAAATATTCTCAACTCGACAAACTCTCCTAATCCAAATACATTTATTTCTTTTGACTCATTTTTATCACTTGACAGTTGCCGTACACTACTTGGCATGTGTTTTGTAACAGATTGTACTGCATAGTTTGTTTCAAGTATCTCATGTATTGGCAGGGTAATCCAACGTGAGTCAGTATTCTGTTTATCCGGAGTTATTTGATAAACTAAAGATGATGACCACGGATTCTGATAATGTTCCTTTTGCTGACTGCTTCTCTTTTGATTACGATTTCCATAAGAATAATAATAAAGTGATGGATCTTGAAAACTAAATCCAACTGTAATATTTCGTGGTACAGTTACACCAACTAAAAAGTCATTGGAAACATATAACCATATTGAAGAGAAGTTATAAATCATATCAAATCGAAAAATGATACGAACAAAATCTGATTCCATTTCTGTATTATAATTTGAGGTCACTGAATCTGCAAGTGATTCGGTTGATGGAGTATTAGTGCTCAATGGTTTTTCTGTCAACTTTCTTCGCCATCCAACAAATTTGTGACTTGAGAAGGGACTGAAATGAAAGCAAAACGATATAATTTAGATGAACTATCATTCTTCTCTGAAATGTGTTTGTTTATGTAAGAAATTGTATATACTGCATTATGTAGAATATGTTATCTTTTTACTTTCTAAATTCTAGATAACTCAGTGAGTATTAAATGCGCCTAACTTGTCTGTTCGAATTTATTGTATTGTACTGCATCATTGAAAATAATCAAAATGTTTTTAAACTGATATTACTAGTTCATGGTAATAACTATAGAGTGGGTCCAATTGCCACAGCTCACAGTTTTATATACGTAAGCAAACACTATCGGATATCTTTTTAAAACTGAAATGCTACAGTTCAACATCCCACAGACCATCTGTTTAACTACATTTTTTCGATGAAACACAACATATGTCATTTGCTTCTTCTTTTCCACTAATCGCCACCAGTTGTTTGTTACGTATTATTCAGTATTTTACACAATCAGTCATTAGAAATAGGTGACAAAAAAGTTTCTGAATGAGCTGCGGCTATTAATTTTAATCGGCAGAAAGAAGGTTTTGAAAGTCAGTATTTGAAATGTAATTCAATAATATCCTAATTTGGAGACAAAGACTTCTTGACATATGGTAAGATCACGCTAAGTGGAGTAAATTCTAGCCTTTGCTATAGAAAATTCTGTTTTTGGTTTTCATTAATATGTTTTATTAATGCGCATATTTAAAATAAATTATAGTTTACTGTAGTGAAGTGGCGTTGTTTTACTGTGAATATTCAATGGGAAAGATTTAAAGTAAGAAATTTGTCTTCGATGAAATTTCTCTTTCAATGGAATGAACAAGGAAACTTTTGAAATTCAGTCGTACGAAAAGCTTTTGTTTAATAGTAGAAAAGCTTGATAATTGGAACATACTCACCAAGTGTGCATAGATTATAAACTTGCTTTCAAAGAGTCTACAAGTTGAAAGCTCTTCAGCAATTCTATTTAAGTTGTGTTGGTGAACACTGGTTACATTCATACTCTATAAATATGAAAATATCCTGTAATTCAGCAAGTTGTAGTTCCAGTGACATATTTTATTCTGTACAAGTTATGTGAAAACGCTGATGTCCTAGAGATTGCTTTACACAGTATTATATCATGCGAGGCGTTTTGTTCATTTAAACTATACGACGGACACAAAAACTGTAATTGATATGATTAATTCCAACTGTTCATCAATGAATAAATATACAACTAAGTCACTAACCTTGTGATTGCTTTGAACTCCGTATCATTATCTGTTAACTTGCCTAATCCACCTTCTATGATTGTTTGAAATGTTTTCTCATCACTAAAATCCTTATGAATACTATCAAAAATGCGAAATTTATGTGATTTCAAATCATATGTTGTATCCAACAGGCGAGTACGTTCATTAGAAGGATTGTTTCTGTATATCTGATGACTTGGAGAAATAGTTTCTGGCAATAGTGCTCCTTCAGGCGCTTTGTACTCTACGATTCCACCTAAATAAAGAAATGAAAGCTAATTAAAGCATCTACAAAAGTCTGGAAATAGGTAATTTATTCATTTACTGATGTATGCCTGATTTTCTTTTAAGGCTTCTTTTTGTGATCAGTGATACACTTAAAATCTTTGACAGTTTAACCGGCTTATTCAAAGAGTTTTTATCTTCAAACACTGATTTTATCAGGTATTAAATATCACAGTTTCTGGACAGTTTCAGAGTATTTTCTACTATTGTTTGCTAAGATACGCTTGAATGAGTTATATATGTATTACTTAAATCACTTTCTTTTTCCCGGAAGTCTTAGAAGATGTTAAACACTAAGATATTCATCTATGTAACGAGTAGTAAGGTTCAGTTCGTATCTTGAAAAGAAGTATTGACACACACCTTGCCGATGCCTATTAACTTAGATCATAAAGAAATAAATCAGAAAATTTTTAAATAACTCTATTTTTGAAAAGTAACAAACTTACTCGCTTCACAGCCTAATAACTCTAACTTTAAACACGTTTTTGTTGGCTCCAAGCTGAATGGATAAATACGCACATAACGTGCTACAAATGGCGGATCCATTGTATTGAAATTTTCTGTCATAGCGTCTTGATTCCCAGCTAAGCGCTGAAGTAAAAGTTAGTACTGTCAAGAATACGATTTCAAATCAAAAACAATCATACACAATCAGTAACTTATGTGACTACCTAGAGAAAGTATCATTAATTTTCTGAATACAGATTAACAAAGGTATAATGTTTCATGATAATGCCACATAGTTTTATCTTAGGTTTTCATGGATTCATATGGGGTTTGATGGCTTTATTAAGTTGAATAACTATGTGAAGCCATCGAGTAAATGAAATATCATCTTTATCCTCATATTTGACAACTGCATTCTATCTTTTTGTACTTGACTGTATACTCTATCTTAACAAGAACAATTTTTCTGCAACTTTCAGTCTGTCCATCAGTGTTTGATTGACAGAATACTCGCGGATCATGCCACATGTGATCTGGGACTTGATCGCTGGCCATTGCACTCCTTAACCCCGATTGACCAGTAGTTCACCCAACAAAGAGGGAAGGTTGGGCGTGAGGCTAGCACACACATCCTGTAAAATTAATCTAACTACTACTGAAACTTCAAGCCTCTAGCTTGAAGTCCTGTGTTCCGAGTGGAACACAGGATTAAAATAAATAAAATAATCTTTAGTTTATTGATTTTTCTCCGCAACTCATACGGCTGAAAATATTATTGGAGTGGTTTCCATGTTATTGTTGTTGTAAAGACCATTTTATTTAGTGTGACTGTGTTCAGTACCTGCGAATTCGGGAATATTTGAAGGTATGGATAGATAGAAAGTGGCAGCTGATGATACATGAATAAATTCTTGGTGGTTTAGTGCAAAAGCTTCGTCCAACTCTATCCAGTGTCAATAAACACCTATTATTTTATAAAAATAAGCACTGATATTGCCTTTTCACTTATGTTTACATCTTTGTTGGACAGAGTGATAAATAAAGCTTATTTTCTGGGAGACCAATAAAAGCTAAAACGTAAAGTGTAACCTAGCTAACAGCATGCTGAAACCAAGCTAGATGGGTAAGTTTTATGCTTGGGATAGTAAAAAAACTGAAGATAATGTACTTTAACTTGATTAACACATCTTCAGTCGATGACAATGAGCTAGAATTCTAGCAACTATGAGAAAAAGTGTAATATCACATTATGTGATAAGGAAGTAATGACTTACCTTAGTTCCATTTTCTTTTTCATAATCAAACCATGTACTAGTCAATTCACGACGATATTTTACATAGAAATAAGGTGTTGTCTGTCTGCCCTATAGTGTGAATAAATTGTTAAGAAAACAGAAAGACTTCATGAGAAAAGGAAATGTGGCACATAGTTTCATGTATGTATGCCTGCAATTCTCCTACTAACTGTCATGTAAATTACGAGTGAAAAATTCTCATAAACTACTAATTCTGTGTAACAGTTGTTATTTAGGTGATTCAAATGCCATCAGTCTTGTTAGCTTTATTTTGGGGAATAAATGATAATATGTACTATGTGCTGTTTATTTCCAAAAGAATTTCTAAAAACAGCTTACTTACATAATATAAGCATATATATATATATAATACTCTGAGTTGTTCTTTTAGGCACTTGAATCTCAAATTGTTACAACATTTAATCGATTCATACATTTATATGCATGTTAATTTTATATTCTTCGAGCCGAATGTATGGTTTTTATTCTCCTGATAGACATCTCTTCAGCTAATTTCATTGTGAAGTGAGCCTCAGGTTAGGCATCTTTTGATGAAGTTTCGTAGATAGCCACTTTTGCTGAAGATAGGCATAAGTCATCTCTCCCATATTCCTTTGAAGGCAGGAGTGCTGCACTATGATTATTAATATGTGTTTAACTTCTGGTAAAAGACTACGAAATACAACTGGTACAGTAGACTTTGAGGCAAACTAAATAATCCAAACACACTACAGAACTCGTGTTTTGGATCACACAACTCAGAGAACACATAAACATCAAAAACATCCACCTAAGATGCCAATATTCATTATTTTATGATGAAACCATATTCCTATGATGTAATGAAAAACTTCTCTTCATGATGTAAAGTAACATGTGCCAGTAGAGACATAATAAACATCAGCAATCACTTGGTGATGAGTTTCCGACGTAGGTCAGAGGCTTTTTGGGAAGCATGAACAAGATTCGGGAAAATTGCATTACTGCATTAAATAGTGGCAAAACCAGAAACTTCACAATTTGAGACTTCATAGCTGACAACAGATTCACTTTTGTGGTCATCGTTGAACGTTACTGAGCGGCAACCAAAATGTCCTTCAAATCTCTGACTTTGCCCGATATCGATTCTGTTCCTGCAAAACGTCAGTCGTGGTCACAAATGCTTGATAGTACCAACAGCTAAGTTCTCGCATAACTTGTAAATCGCAAAACTAAATGGGTTTCTCAGTATCGTTGCAACACCTTTTTGAATGATAAAATAATGAACTTGGCCTGAGTATCTGGTGTCACCTAAGTGCTAAAGTCTAATAATCTTTTCATAAGCTTTTGCTCGTTTCGATGGTTCACAGTAGCTTCTAAAAATCTACTACAAGATATTTTACATAAATAAACACTTTCGGTCAAAAGGTTAGATTTAACGCAAGTCCACTTGATCTCTTGTTAATAAGAACTGAAATATTAATGTATTCTTATTAAAATTTCTGCCAGAATGACAGTTAATTTGCAGTTTTAACGGAAAAATGAAAGTAAGTAGAACATCTTTTAGATCCTACTCAAACCACTCATCTCCAACTTCATCTTCTCCCTAAGTAATGAAAGTTTTGTATATCCTTTAAAAAAGAGTTAAATAAAATGTATAGTGGGCTTACTTTGCTTTGAGCTACACGACCTTTAGTTATAATCAGTTTGATAATACTCTGGCGACCTAGATCAATTTCCATGAATTCACGAAGTTCTGTTCCAACTTTAGCATCTGGGCACCAAGCGCGTTCTTGAAGGCTGAGATCGTTTGGGTCTTCACTAAAAGGCAATTAAAGACAGAGTATTAAGTCCTAGGGAAATAAATTCGTAAAATGATTTTTTTACGTGCTTGTAAATTATTTTGCGGATTTCTGATTAGTTTTCAAATTTGATGCCAAACATTTCATCATTTCCAACTTTTCAGTTTTGTTTTCATCATTTAGTTTTTTGTTGCATAACGAGAATATTGTTGAATTACTCAACTTCTCAGCAAAAAATGTCTTATGGAGGGTGTGTAGTTAAAACGAACTAAGACTGACAGTTCCAATCCACCCTTTTAATTCTATGCTTCATCTCCTAAGAGTGATGCATAATATCAGACATCAATTTGACACTGATTGTTTTGTATTACTTATTTTCTTTCATACTAGAAAAAATTTATATTAAATGTCATAGTAGTTGACTTTTGTGAAAGCCAGTGTGCAACACCTGATTTTCATACCAGTGATGAAAATATAACGAGGTCATTGTAACTGACAGTGACTGAAATTATTTTAACTTGCCACTTATTTGATGCGTGTATTCCTGCAATACTAGTTGTCAGACAAAGATGTGACCAGACACTGTCACCTTATGTACAATTTACTTCATCTGTCATATAAACTATGATAGCAATCATAGAATATTTTTGATGTAGACAGGTATTAAGCCTTCATTCTTTCGGATGATGACACCACGATTTGCTGAGTAATATGTGGGCATAACAAAACAGTTCGAAAACTAAAACCACCTTGATGCGCTTGAATTTCTGCTGCTAACAAGTGTGTTTGTTACCACTTGGTATTGTCAGTAACACTACTAATAAGTGATGAGATAATAATATGAAGTTGTTTCTCAACTATGAGGGATTATTCTTCTGTTTCTATAGTTACCGGAATACCTTGTCATTTGACGGACACTTGATAGTTTTTTCTGCCTGGAAGTAACAGGAACCTTATCAGGCATTGTTACGTCAGCAGTTATTCAAGGTTGAGCATATAGGGAAGGCTTTAAGGTGTTAGATAGTATCAAAATAAGTGACATTTAAAAGTGACAGCTTTCATTGTGTAGCACACACTAATTGACCTCAGATGAATACGAAAAGCATAAAAATGTGAACACTGACTTAAATTAATCTCTGACTGAAGTGCTTTTTAGCCTTTACTTCTTAAATACGCATAAATGAACGGTTTACTAGTCAAGGTTTCGCTCCGCAACTGACTTTGCAAACATTTGTTTTCCCTATTTAATGACTGGTTTTTATTGACATGTAAAAACATCATCGGACCTTAATAGAATTTCCTAGAACACTGGTTAATAAAGAATTGTATATCTTTTTGAAAATATTCTCCTTTAAAAGGTTTATTTCCAACTCCCTATAAACAAAACATGTCTTTGGTTAAAAGAACAGCAGCAACGGTAGTAGCAATAACTACATAGTCCAATAAACTGGAATGCCTGCAAACCCCAATGAATAGTTGTTCAGAGGAAGCAAATAATAATAAAAAAATACTTGTAGTGTACTAATAGAAGGCAGCTTAATGATTCATGTATCCTACTTATGCTGGAAAATAACATTCCAGTACGGTACACATGGAATTTTTATGATTCATTTTTATGATTTCATAAAATCCCTCTCTTGCGCTAGTTTAGTTTGTTTAAATGGATAATTAAATTCAGTTTCAGGAAGTTTTTAACTGGTAAAATTCTTTTTTTTTTTCTAGTTTTAGCTAAATAATTATTTCGCAGTGAGTATGTCCTTTTTAGAAGGTATAATAAAGCTAATGAAAGAAGAAAGAAAAGCGTTCTACGATGAATATTGCAGTAAGATTCTAACTAACCGCTTGTTTCAATGAATATATGTATTTACGATCAAATGGAACAGTTAAAGGAAAATAAATACTCAAGTGTGGTTAAGCAACATATTTTCTAAAAGAAAAAAAGTGAATTGTTTTCTGTATTGTAAATAAATACTCTTTTTTATTTTGATTTATGAGAACTAAAACAACATATTAACCAGTTTCCTTCCTTTGTCATTCAGTCTACGTGAATTTTACTTCTCTCTGACTGTCTCTATCTCTTCTACTCAGTTTCTTTATAAGCTACTACATAAATCCTCTTTGTGTGTGTGTGTGTACATGTACAACTCTAACCTACCAAGTATTAGGCAGAAATGGGTTGTGCTTTTTTATCGTTATGAAAGAAAAACGTCAATAGACCTACGAAAATAAATAAATGTAAAAACAATAACATAGAACCACAAGAAAAACTGTTTGGCAGTTCATTTACCAAGGAATCAGGGTACATACATATATATTTATATACATCTTATATGACTCATACAGTTGATTAATTGGTAAATAAATCATGTATGGATCAGGCATCATGAAAATCAACGTGGACACTATGTTCATAACCACAGAAGTGAAAGGCTTATTCATTTTTCTCTCAATGCAAACTTCACTGCATAATCCTTCAGGACAATAAAAAGGAAGCATAATCTGAGTCAGCTTTATCTGATAACACTGAAAGTGATGAATGGAAAATATCTTTTTTTTAAAGTTATTTATTGCTCTGGTTAAATTCCCATTTACAACTTATGATAATATCCTGTAAAAGTTGAGGAAATAAAGCTGGACAGTAGATTACTTTCTATTTCTATCATGGGATGAATTACAGTCAATTTACTACGACTGAAAATATATTCTGTTGTCAGGAAAATTCATTATCTATTCGCAGTGGTCAAATCCATAGTTGGTTGTGGAAGCTCCTTCAAGATCACACACAGTCAAACAAAAATTCCCTACAAAACCAATACTTGAAAATTAATCTGACGCTCACTAGCGACTGTCCCTATTTGGGAAGTTAACCTGGGGTTCTTGAGGGAAGTATTGACCACTAGGGTGCAGCAGGTTGAAGGTGAGGAAGTAACTCATCGAAGAAGACATCGCGAATTGGTCGCGCTGTCATGAAATTTTAGATTGATGCAGAAAATAATTATTTAAATCGGTAACGTTGGGAGAGCATTCTGAATAAAATTAGTAAGGCTATTTCTGCCTACTGCACAAATGCACAAATTCTGACCCATTCAGAAAATCAACATTTATACTACTGATTTACATCTTAGAATATCATGGCGAAGTGGGTGAACATGTTAAGAGAAGTTCACAGTCACTGGACATATTGCAGCCATTTCCACGGTTTATGCACTAATGTTAAATATGTTGAACACTATTTTTATATGATCATGCCTTTTACTCCCTGTGTAAATCAACTGTTCTTCATTATGTACACTGAGTATAGTGTTTAAATGTGCATAACTTTATCATTTAAAGATTTCTTCATTTATTGACGGGAGCTTGTAGTGTATGTTGTTGTGAGATTTTAGTCATTATGTGTATAGGTGGTAAACAAAGCTATCATACCAGTTTTCAGGTATATAATATTTCTTTTGGTTGTTTAAATAACAGACAAAATATATTTCAAGTTGTCATCCTTCCAGCTTAAGTCTGGTTCCAGTAATCATTTAAGTCTTAAGACGTGGGCAAACACATCATCCTTCCTAAATGACAGACTAAATAAACTGTAAAGATGAAATATACGCAGACTGCCCTTTCGAATAATTGCACTATATATATATATATATATATATATATATATATATAATCTACTTGGAATTCAAATGCTTTTGATTTCTAAGTTATTTTATCACTCCACCACCCGGAATTAGTACTATATTTGTCTATCTAAATTCTTTAGAAAACGAATCTTCCCTTTTAAACTGTCAGACTTTCATCTTTTTTACATCCTTTAGAGGGAAGGATATCACTTCAGGATATAATTTTCTGTTACATATATATATACATATGATCTTTGACAGTTTGGGTGAACGTATCGTATGAGAAAATGAGATATAATGATATTAGTCTGGTCTTATTTTATCTACCCGGGAAATTGTTTTACCCCGAAAGTTGGCCTAAACAATATAAATCTACTGGTGACATTTGAAACTGTCATGAAAACTCGTGACGTTTGTTAGTGAAGTTGACCGGTAAACAAAAGGTGCTTAGATATCATAAATGCCAAACCATACATTCTTTCCTTAATTATTAACCACATGTGTTTCCATTGTGGAATGTAGCAGTGATATTTCTGGATGTGTGTAGTGCGTTTACTAAAATATATCCAATAATTAGCAGGAATTTTGTTTGCTGCTTAGAATCTGTTTTTAGTTTCATTCCAGTGTACTTAAGCTAATTTATTCGTTTCTGGTGTGTAATCAATGCATCGAAATAGCCGAAAGATGTAGAAGTGTCTTTGCCACGTAAATTAACTCAAAACGTTGAATTCCTTTGATTGAAATGTTATTTTATTAAAATTAATTACTTAAACATATAAACTTTCGCTGTAGAAAATGTTCAAGTTTACTCCAGATAAATTTAAATTAGAAGTCTGTCAATAGAAATATTGTATGCCATTAGTGATTTTCATGCTTCTAAATTTCATATTCAGTATAGTGAGTAAAATTAGAAAGCACCAGTCAGCAGATATTCAGAAAACATAAAGAACAGTGACTACGAAGTGCGAACGTACTGATGACCTTGGACGCATCCTATTTGTTGGACTGCAGGAGATGCCATATATTCTGCATCAGAAGGCCATTTATTTACGAGAAAAACAAACATAATGAAAGACATTGAAGGCGATATTTTACCCTGAGGTAACTGAGAAATGCTTCCCAAGTATGATGAAAGGTATCATTTTTCAAGTTTCATAGCTAACAAAATGGTTTCACCTATATGAACAATGAAACACCACCCACTCATTTATTTATGTACAAGAAATACAGATAATAGTAATGCACGCAAACTCTGATCCTTACCTTAACCCTAAACCTTATCTTGATCCTAACCCTAACGCGATATCAACCCATTGTCTAAGCAGTACTTAAAATTGAGACCAGGATTACATTTGCATATGATGTCGGACACAGAGTTCATATTGGCTCTGTAATAACGATAGGTTCTGAGATGCAATGAGCGGCATGCTTTCAAGGTTATTGGTGTGTTCTTACTCCATGGTCACTATTTATTAGGTTGGCCAGACATGAAATATAATAATTGGAGTATTGTCATAAAGCATATTCTAATGTTGGTTTATTCAATTAGTATAGAGAATAGGGATACCGAACTTTTATTGAAAGTGTTTCGAAGTGTTTATCGCTCATAGTCATATCCAGATATGATAATGAATAATCATTTCTACCGAAAGGTGATTAAGTGAATAACACTGTCAGAGAAATTTAAGCAAACTCATATATAGCTGCTATCATTCCATAAGATTTATACACAGAACAGAAATACAGCTTAACACTAGTTAAAGGTAGTCTAATAGGTATTTATTTACTTTTCCCTTCAATTTTCCTAAAAGGAGTGCAAACTCATAACCCTGCCAGGGGCCGACCCAGTATCTCCAGGTCGCGTCATAAACACTGGCTTAAACCGACAGATACTTATTAATTAGTATAAATTATTTGTATCTGCAGAACTGCTTCTAGTTGACCTCACACTTTTAATATCAGACAGGATTAAATAGTCGTTTATACACTTTTGTGGGCTATTGATAAAATCTTTTTATGAGGTACTTGATTTACTTAGTGAGACAGTAAGAAGTATTGAATGTTTCTTCAGTTAAAAATAGTTTTGTGTACGAGAACTTAACCACCTGAACATAATCCCACCTAACATTAATTAAAATGTTATATTGATTGGAGGATTTCATCACGAGCTAATATCAATTAGAGAACCACTGGAAAACCAGTAAGTAGTGAACAGCTGTTTTATCAGCCTAGTTTAGGACTTTTCACCAGTACGCACCCGCGACAGGGTTTCGAACCCAGTACCTTCCGCTTACAAGGCAAGTTCGTATACCACCCAGCCACTGGGACCCGATTCACTGGTCCATGAATTCTAGCTTCTACTTATTCGTGATTTAGCGCGAACACCAACCAATGTCATCTTGTGTGAAGTCGTGACCAGTGACGTCCATCCAGTCAAGTGTGAGGATGGATTTCCCACCAATGACATTGGTTGGTGGTCAAGCTAAATCACGAATTGGTAGAAGTTAGAATTCATGAGCCATTGAATCGGGTCCCAGTGACTGAATGGTATACGAGCTCGCCTTGTAACCGGAAGGTTCCTGGTTCAATTCTCGGTAGGTGCGTACTGATGAGGTGTCTCAATCTAGGACAAAACAGCTATCCAGTACTTCACGGTTTTCAGTGGCTCTCTAACTGATGTCAGCTCATGATGAAATCCTTCAATCGATCAAACAAAATCCCTACAAAACTAATACTTAAAGTGTTATATGATTTTATGCTCTTCAACAGTATAAATTTAAAATACACCCAGTACACTACTTTATTTTTGAATGAAAGGTAGTACTGTAAAAAGAAACCGAAAAATTCATTTTATAACCATCTCAACTAACGTTACTGAGTGACTTAAATTTAAGGCTTTTACCTCGTTTTAATTCGTACAACATCTTAAAATACCCAGATTTTGTAGAGTTATTACATGAACTAGAATATTCTCTTATACTCCGCTTTTAATATGGTTCTATATATTGTCAGTTTGCAATTCAACGTCAAGACAGCGTCAGATTTTTCCTCAGGTTTATTCATATGGATGACTGATATTTCTTGATTTTTAGATTACTCATTTGATGAAAATCCATACTCTATGTTAATTTATTGTCGTATTTTTGGCTGATCATGTGCATATCATCATTCGCTTTCTGAGGTTGAACGGCATCTACACGAAATACTAGACCAGTCGACTTTCGTAACCAAAATGTATTTATATCAACGTTTTGTACTTGAGAGAATATTTACTAATGCAACCCTTGTATTTTAAGATAGCACTTGTGGTCGACTAGTGGGATAAACATGTATTTAAACATAAACATAGATTCTCACAAAATGCAATTTACTGGCCTTTCTTTTAACGTCAAATAAAGGTTTGAAAATTGTCACGCAATATGTAGAAGATGAAAATTTGATATCATTGAACTGGTGAATATATACTCAGCGAAAACACAAGAGCAGGTGAATAGTTCTTATAAATCTAATTTAAACACATTACTTGTCAAAATGTTCAGTTCGAAATGTTCAGTGTTGCTTAGATACCTGTTTTTTTATCGATAACACCTGCTTAAGCTGCGATCTGTCTATTTCTAGGGAATTGGTTCTGCACGCAATATTTGCTGTTAAAATCATATGCCTTTGAAATAGATTATTTGAAATTCATAAAATTTATAAAGTTGTTCATTGTAATAGCACAATGATCTGTCAAACTCATTCTAAAACGTAGAGGAATTGTACATTGTACTGAGGCTCCGGGGTTTGAACAACAGAACATTGATGAGACTTTCACTGTTTTATGATTGAAGTTTATCTTGGAAAATTGGGATCTTTTCTTTTATTTATCCAGTTTACAGACTTATCGAACATTCATCAACTTCAATTCAGTCTCTTAAACAGATTTGCTTGAGTGATATAGGAAAAGAGTGTGACGAACAAGTTCCCACCCCCCCTTGTTCAGTATTCTACAGTCGTGCTCACTAAGGAATGGATGTTAGATTCATCCTTGTGTCCAAGTAGATGCATTGTACAGTGAGCCAAAGAATGAGAAAGTTAGGACAATCGTGGACCCAGCTGAAGAGGATGGCAGAAAATAGAATAAAGTGGAGATGTGTTGTAGAAGCCCTATATTCCACTCGGAACCCAAGGGAACAATAATAATAAATTTATGCTTTTTATCTTCAGGCATTTTGTAATACACCGTCACTTTATATAGTCGTTTATCGTACTTATATAACTCCCTGGAACGTATTTTTTCTACAATAATCCTGATATATCTACCTGGAACCCAGTAACTGACGAGCATTCAGCCGTTGTTGAACCTTCAAAAAGTAAAAGTTCTCTTGGAAATTTCGGCATCCATATATAATAATTTATGAGTATCCTATACTTATATCTGAGTGGTATTAAAACACTTTCGAGGTATTATACGAAGGTGTACTCAAAAGAAAATGACGACAAGAACCATCAGCTACACATCAGTTCTAGTATTTAATTGAAAAACAAATCATATATCAATTCTTCAATCATTTCAAGTGATAACTTTTCCGATTATATAATAGGCGACAACACTCGAATTTATAGAAGTTTGTTTCAAAGTTGAGTTCATCACAAATCGAAATCGCTTTTTTTTGAAGAACAATGAAAATAAGCAAGTTTTGGAAAGTTACTTAATTCTAGTTTATGAAATTTAATTGCATCAGAGCTTGACAGCAGTTTGAAAGAAAAAAAATACTGCCAATCATCCACAGTGAGTTAGGTAAAAATTAGTGGCTCATAACTTCGAATGTCTTCCAATTTTTAGTGAACTAGCAACTTTAGAAAAGTCCCCAGTGAGTATTCACTTTTGCAAACAACTCGGTGTATTGCATCTAATATCATAAAACAGATATTTGGTTCTGTTTGCTTTTGAACAGTAGCAGCCTTCCAATGCTGCTGGTTGGTGGCATAAATACCCTTGAAATTGTTACAAAATCCTCATAGACTCAACAACATTGAAAATCTATGTATGTGAATGGTTTAAGTGTAGGTGGCTTGGTAAATACTGAATGATAACAGACTAATTCTGAATTATAGCACACCTCCTATAATGGATGTGATATAGATATATATGTTATGTAGTGAAAGCTGAGTGGAGCAATAAGGCTGTTCTTTTTATCTTGTTACTCAATATTTTTAAATGGGAAACTTAATAAAATTAAAATGTTACATTTTTCTTCTTGCTTTGTTACTATTGTTATTTTTTTTCATTTTTAAAGTACTTAAATGTGGTCAAAACGCAAAAAGTAGTGTTTTTCATGTTTACCTTTGTGTGAAAAACAACTCTGCAAATATCATCATTATGCTATATGAAATTAATTGTTTCTATCATAATATGATAAGCTCTTAATAACCACGATTTCCTGAGAAAGGCGCCGAGCAGCTGTTTTAACATGTTAAAGCAGTGGGTAGTATTAGCTGTTTCTAAAGGCAAAATAATTCCTTTTGAATACTTTGATGAGTACACCACGATCAAATATTCTTTTTTTGGACCATTAGACAACATGAAACTTCAGTACTTTACTTAGTATGCAAATATGAACGAGTAGTCGTTTTGCATCACTTCATTGCAAGCAGTATTCTCTAGAATTTATCCTGATATCAGTCATTCAAATGAATTGAGAGTTAAAAATTGCATATTTACCGACCGAGAGATTTGTATACAAAAGCTCACCGGTTTGTTATCTATTATTTTGACAAAAAGACTAATACATCTGAAATGTAATCATCAACATACGTAATCATCAGGAAACATTTTTGTTGACTTATCAACTTACCGAGCAGCTGATGCTCCATGCTGTATTGTTGCAGCACTAGAATGCTGAAATGAAGTATCTGGAACCATAGCACGGTCTGCCAACAGCCGGGAATTGCAACCAAGCGTAACTAGAACGGAAATAGAGCAAAATGCAAATAATTTAGAGTGCTGAAGTCTATTCTCGGTGAGTTTGTTAGTTAATAAAAAATAACTGCTTGTCGGTGTCAGGGAAACAGGCGTAGACTGTTTCAGTAGATGAGACCATCACTTCCTGAATTCAAACTTTCTGATCTCAAATTATTTTAGATTAGTATTTATGTAAAACGATTCATAGAAAACACCTTAAACATGTACTGGATAATGAGGTGGAAAAATCACTTAAGCACTGATTACTTAAAGATGTCATTTTCATTTTAAAACATCGACTGGACACCATATATATACTAGACAAGCCAAATACAGACATGACGGTAATCTGATGGCACATGACATACTATCCCACCGAGATGATTGACATTACGCTCCATCAGTTGAGACACAGTATTAGTGGCCAGGTGAGACGTGAATGTTGTTGATGCGGACAACGACGAGAATGAGAATATTTATTTGCTAGCAGTTGTGTGTTGTTCCTTGCTGAGGTTCGGGAGACTGAGTGGTCAGTTTTGAGATAAGAGAATGATTCACATTTAAGAAAATTACTTTACATCTGCGTCATACAAGTGTAACTATTTCGTGTAGAAATCATTATTATTCTAACCACCGTAAGAAAATAAATGCTCTACCAAGGTTGAATAGTTCAACGAGTCATAGTTACTGCATGCAACCTAATGGTATACGTAGACTAAGGGATGATAATGCTCTGACACTAAAGAAAATAGCTATTTGAAAAAAAATGTTTGTTTTGTTTAGAAAATTCATTTCACTTATCTTCTTTTGCATCTTACAGTTTTCCCTGAATACTTTCCTGAAGAAAATCGGATGGATGAATAACCTCCATCGCTTTTCATATTGATTTACGCAGTTTATCTCCAAAAAATAATACAACTTAAGCCATCATCAATTGCGTGTCTTTACCCAGAAGGAAATGATGCAATCTAATGTGTTCCGCTCTATACTGACATAATAAAGAGGCTAGGAACGTCATGCAACTACTGGTATCCCTTTATACATTTTTAAGAGGCAATCTCATACATCGCCTTTTCAAGTCAGAGCTCTCTTTAATACATGCATGCTAATAAGTCATCAGTTTTTCTTTGGAGATAAGAAAACGCCTCAGGCAGTAAACTGGTTTGATTGATTTTCGTCAAACTCAGACATGATTGTTCTCTTGTCAAAACATTTTTATCCTTTTTTCTGACTATTCGATGTATAGATTTTAATATAAGGTTAGAGAAGTACCTAAGTGTATAGATTAATAAAGGAAATAAATGATTCAACTCTCTAGATTATATATATATATATATTGAGGTCAAGTATTAGCAATAAAATTTCTCTAGGGAATAAAGAAAATACACATATTCACATTCTCCTTAATAAACCTCTGAAATAAACAAAAAGCTTAGGAAAACATGCTTATAACAGCTTATTAGTGTTACGGTTGTGAGAAAAAATAATGAAAGATATTGAAAAGTAATATCCAACACTTAGTTGTACACCTTCGCACACATACACAACACACACGCTGACCAGTCATCGTCACCTTACCACTAATTTATTCTTTTTCGCATTCTATGCTTTTAAATAGCCTTCTGAAAATATCAAACGCTGCATATTAATGAATTCATTAAGGGAAAAAAAGAAACAGACGATATAAAGCATGTGAAACCTATCGCTATAGTTACTAGATGAAGAGGAAGTCGACTACTGAAAGCAGGAAATGATTCTAAACCACATCTTAAGCATAAAACCAATAAAGTAAATGAATCATCACTTTATTTTCGTGGATAATTTTCTTCTGGGGTTAATTTTCGTATTCCTCATAGACAGGTGAATGATAGATAACTATACTATGGATATTGAATCTGTAGCTACAGTGGATGGACACTGAAATTCGGTGAAAACATTCAGATTATACTATCGTGGAAATCTCTGATATTCTTTGTGAATAAGTATCTACTCTTTAATCGATGACTGTTGTATAACTGTATTTATAGAAAGGCAATAAAATGATGAAACCGGAAGAACATTGTACATCTCTGCAAATCAGACAAGATGTGGATATAACAAATGTTGACTACAGTTTTCAGCTGAATTAAAATCGAATCCCTGTACCTAACTAGGCTACAAAAGGTGACTTTAATTCGTGATTCCTAGATTGATGACTTGATGTCCAAGCAGTGTGAACCTGAATGTTTGACCAGTATCTGACTGCTTTACTAGCGTAGGACTTTGCAATTTCACGCATAAATTCCCCTAGGTCATTTCCTGTAGACATTCTTTCAAAATGTTATTCCGACCGGTGTTTAAAGACAATGTTTCAGCAGCACTAAATGATCTAGTGAAATATAACACTGCACCGAATTTCAATGGTTCAAGTTGGCACACTCCAAAGAAGAACACAAGAGAAGTCAAATGTAATGCGATACAATGAATGAAGGTGTACGTGGAGAGAGAATGTTTAAGCAAGGTATAATACCCTGGATTGTGGGAAATTTCGGTCCTTGCTTCTAATATGGTTATTATAGCCAATTTCTAAAAACTTAATTCATCTTTCAGATAAAATTATCCCCCAATTGCTGTTCACTAAAATAAAACATGAAGAACAAAGTAACTTGGCTGTTCACATAAACTTCAATTTATTTCAGATGACTGAGACAAAGAAACATCAAAGTTGGCTAATTTCGATTACAGTGATTGAAAGAAAGAAATAATTATTGTTGATTGTTTTATTTTTATTAAAAAGTCAAGTAAATTGTGTTCTTCCGAGCTATATATCTCTGTATATATAATCTCTGATAATTTTCCTTCTTTTAGGAAGCAACAAAAAACTAGAATCCCCATCGGATATTATGTCGCATTGCGCATATTTTTGTCATTTCAACAAAATGTCGATGTAAACGGAATTCTACTTTTGCAACAAAATAACAAACAAATTCATAAAGTTTAGTACTTAATTTACAATGAAAAAAATGTGCATAGTGTAGGATCTTGAATAAAAGACAGATAGGAACAGTTTTTAGCTTATTTATGTCTCTAGACACCAGGTGTAGGAATAATCGAACACTGTCAAGACAAAAATTCAGTTGTACTAAAAACTGACAATAGCACTTGTACAGGCAATTGTAGCAGACTCTTGCTAAGATAAACTGCAGTAGTTCTGTTGATCTAAAATTTGTACAGATAGTGAAATGAATTTGTAACTTATTTCAATGAAAACAATCTTAGTTATAACTGACTGAACTGAACACGTCATCTCTAAATTTTGAAAGGAAGTCCAGACTGCTTTGTAATACCAGATTTATGCAAGACTGAAGAGATATACATACGAAAATCAAGGATATAGATAGCTACCATAATATGAAAAAGCAATTAAAATCAGACTCAATACATCAAAATCTTGTTCTGTTTTCGTATACTCCAAAAAGTGATACATAAAGCTAAATAGATTCGTATGTGTCTAAGCTGCTGACTTATTTTTCTTAAATTAAGTTATTAAATAGAATAAGATATTCAAATGTCCATAGATAATTAACCGGGTATATTTCCCTTACATAATTCAAAGTTGCTTAAACAGCACCAAAATTTATGCAAATTTACTACTGAGAGGTTCAAAACACTGAGATTAAGATTGATTCAAGTTTATGCATACTTTAGAGTTAAACGAGGTGAAAATACGATAATTTCGAATTTTGATGACGGGAATAAATAAATTACGCTTGATGCCTTAGTAAAGAATTTTTACAAAATTCAGTCAAAAAGGCCATTTTTTCTCTTTTAGCATAAGACATATTTCATTTACTAGCGGCAGAAATGCATTTTTATAACTAACAGTATCCTGACAAAATTGTTAATGTCTTTTGAATATATTGTTACAGCAGCAGAATGGTGATGCTAACTTAACTGCTTGTAAGAATAACGATTTCGTAAAACGGATGTACATATACATATATATATACAATATGCTTTCTTTGATTCAGAAAATAAAAAATGATAAAAATATTAGGAAGCGAATGTACAATGCACGCGATACTGTTCATCTTCTAGAGACGGATAACTTTTCTTTTATAATGACCACGTGGATTTTATAAAAAGTTTTCACAGCCTTGTAGATTAAGTCTCCTGTCTTTCCTTTTGCATGAAATACTGGCGAATTATACAACTCATTCCGTTATGTTATCGATGTAGAGAATATTCGATTATTATACTTTGTGGTCATCATGCTTGTTTTACTACTTTTAACGAATATGATTTACACTCACTTATCTATAAATTTGTGACCAAATGCTCATGTGAAATGCATATATGTATATATAAGCATGCTCAGAGCAGATAATATAGGGAGTATATCTATGAAAACTCTATTTCCTCCCTATTATTATCATCATCAGTTTTCTGATAATCTTCTCATCGATAATGTAACCCCCCCCCCCATTTGGTCGTGCAGAATCAAAAGCACTCATATTTAACACAACATTCAGAATATGATTCTTCGCTTTGGGAAACTAAATAACAGAAAAACCACTAGGAGTAAGATAGACGGAATTGTTTATCTCCTATTAGAAGTTGTAGATAGGTTATATGTGAAAGATCAAAGGGATTTTTTTCTCATGGGAACAATTTTAGGCGTGAGTAGGCGTCGCCTAAGCGTTGTCACCTTTGTTGAGTCACAGGCTGACGTCTGCAAACATACAGAATTAGGCACATTGATAAATGTGCATACTGTGATTTTTCCTTGTGATGTAAGTAAACCAAAAAACGGTGATGGGCTAAAAATCTCTTAGTCAGTTTCCTGTGGTCAGCTTCCAATTAGTTCACACACACACACTGTCACCTTTCATCTAGAATAATAACAACAGAAATATTATGAGTAATTTTTGTGAGGATGCCTCTGTTATACCATGTTTTGTCTGGTTTAAGTAACTGTAATAGTGGTGGGCGAAAACTACAATGGGCAATTATTACTGACTTT